GCGACTGGGTCCGGTTCTTCGTCCCCCAGTGACACACTTCAACAGCGTCAGCAACAACAACAACACCCAAAGGAACTCTTTTCTGCTGACGATAACCTTGATCCACGACTTCAGCCTCTCCCAACGACTGGTTTGACCTGCCTGACCGGCCTACGCCTATCCAATAGCGCTGCACATCGTCTTCTACTGTTGGGCAGTGGAGCCATCCGCTACCGGCAGACCGACCGGTCAGGGTCTCCGGGGCGGGATGACGACTCTCAGGGTTTCCCGGGAGCCGGGACTATCTGCGGCCTAGGCTCTGCCTCCTCAAGCAACTCTTCACTCTTTTCCTCCTCTTCTTCCACCTCCTCTTCCAACTTCAATTCAGCTTCCGTAACCGCAGTTACGGCTACCGCAGCCTTTGCCGCAGGGCAGGCCAGTCGGTCACTGGTGGAGCTGCGTTGTCGAGGCAGAGGTGGATCGGGCGCCAGTGTACTTCCGTTGAATGGGCATTCGGCACATGCAACACATCACTGCGGCCCGCATGGCAAGAAAGTGGTGCTGAACCTGTCAGAGCGAGGTTAGTCTGGCAATAAATGATAATCGTGGAAATCCAGAGCAAGATGTTGTAGCCTCTGTTTTGGTTTCAGTCTCCCTTCGCTGGTCGGACCTCGTTTTCGCAACTTTGTCGTGTTGCCATGGCTGAAGTCGTGTTCTATAGTAGTTGTGATATGCCCCATCATGGGACTGTTGACTTGGTACAATCAAAGACGCTTCGTCGACATCGTAGTCAGCATAATCAGTGAGCCCTACCATTCTCAGCCCCAAACTGCAACTTGTCAAACGACGCTTAAAGTGAATCCATTGAGCCACTTTCTGCCAAACGGTTGTCTTGTTACTCTTGTCCGGTAGATGAATCGGCGAAATGTCTGGGATGTACCAAATCTATGATCAAATGGCAGGAATGATCAAAACAACTATAAACAAAATGCATCTATGACCAAGTTACGAAAACGACGTCAAACTGCTAAATTTCTACGAGCTATATTTCAAGGCTTCTCACATAACATATCTCTGTGGTGGGATTGTTGGTGGAGCAAAATTGTAATTGCTAAAGCAGTTGACATATTACTTATTTTTCTTTTAAAAATAGATTTTCGAGGCTATCAGTACGTCTTATATGAAATAGAGTGAATATAGCCCTTATCTAAGATACATTGGTCTTCCAAAAACCTACATACAAAAACGAAACATAGGTAATGTAGTTGATTGCTAGGACAAATAGAACTTTGCTCTATCGACAATCTCACCACAGAAATGGAATATGAGGAAGGCCTAAGATTCCTTGAAATTTACATCAGCTCTTTGACCCATGGAGCTCGTGGCAGACCTGGGTAGTGGTAAAAGTGTCGAGACTACACACTGCACTACCACAGCCAGGGTTCGAGTTCCGCTGAAGGTGATGATGAGATCAGTTCAGGCGAGGTCAAAACTACAGTTCATCCTGGATGATAGTAACTTTTGGGAAGCATGGCTATGTGAGATTAAAGGGAGAAATGAGGCTTACTTATGTTTATGGGAAAATTCAATTACTAGTCCTTCCTCAACCTAAATTAAATAGGGTGAATAGAGCTGTTATTCAAGATCTATTATTAGTCCTGTAAATATGTTCATAACTGAATAACACATTTCTAGGAACTCGATAGAGGGAATAAATAATTTCCAAATCGACTTATTTGGGGTAGGCTAGATTCAGGCCTGGTTATATACCAACCTCTAATAGTTTCCAACTAGTAGGATAACTAGCCTGTTCATGATTAATGTAAGAGAATGCTTGGTGCTCTCACTGAATTCCTCTTTGTCAAGTATCCCAAAATTACCCTTCGCCTTCAGCCTGGACTGCATTTTCTACCGCACACCCCATCAGGATTAGAACAGTGGGACTAAGAAGATTAAGAAGCAAACGCGTTGTCCCTTAAGTCTCTCGGCATTGGCCATACTGTAATCTATGACAGGCATGGCTTTCAAGGTAAAGCAAACCTTTCAATCTGAATCAACTCTTTACGCTCCTGAGTTATTTATTTTAAAACAAATTTTTTTCTTCTTGAAGCTATTCATAATCATATCAGATTTACATTTTAAAAATGGCTCATCTTGTGAGTCCATGACAAGGAGTACTTGATGGGAATAGAAAATATGGTGTCACAGAATACACAACACATACCAATACTCTATGAAGGGGCGGATAAGCTGTCTCACAATAGTCTGATTAGCCAATATGGGAGGCACTGTAAAATGCTAATATTAATTATCTGCCAAATTATGAAATTTATGGTACTACTTGGGGACGCAAAGTCACTATCTGTTTTATTGATCACATTCTTCGTATTAGTAGAATGAAGTGAGTGATATGCGCATTCAAATGTGGTTTCATCATGAGATATAAATAGCAACCTGAAATTTAAAAGTTTTTTTTCACTTCTAGACGGTTTATTAAGTCATGAATAAATAAGCAACGCAATTCCGTAGCTCTTTAGGAGCCTCTTATATGAATAATAGTAAATGCAAGTAGCAGTAAGCTTTTGATGAATCTCCTGCATTGGTGGACTCATATTGTGCGTGAAAAAATAGGATAAGTGTGCACGGGTCGATCTCACCGGAGAAACGAACAAATTTAAAGCTGTATTTTATTCAATGTTCCAAAAACATTCATATAAACGCTGTTGTAGAGATACCTTCATTCTTAAAGCATCAGTATTAACGATAGTCTGGCTTAAGTGAAGGAGGAATTAGTATTTTTTTTTAAAGGCTTAATATTATATAAAAATAAAAGAAACTTAGGTTCTTGCAGGCAAATGGCTTTGCCAGTCGTCGAATCATTTATTCAAACCTGGCTGCGAGAATATCTGCAGCAACAAAATCACTTATCAGCGCATCCACGGCCGTCATGCCAGTGAAAAGTGGATTGGGAACTGTTGGATACAAAAGTGGAATTAACTTATGAATTCCAGACTTCAACCAATACTAATTGATGCTTTTAAGTGACATAGTGGTATTTTATATTGTAAAAAATAGAGGAGAGATCAGGCCTGTAATCTGATCTACAGCCACATAAACTGCTTGAATTTGACTGAAAAAAATTGGTGGGAGTATGATTAGTTCTATTACGCAATACTGCAATGCTTATAGGAAGCTATGCAGATTATAATCCACCATTAGATAGTTGATCAGCCCCACTTTAGTGAGGTTCAAAGTTATGAGAGAAGGTGTCGTCAGTGGGAATTTAGCAACTTACAACACAAATGTGTATACAAAGTTTAGTAAAGAAAGCATTAAAAAAGATAGAAAAAAAATCGAAAAATTAAAAATATGTAAATTGCGAGTGAAGATATTAGAAAAATAAACATCATAAAAATTAAGGCAAATATAATGACTGCAAGAAATAATGAGGTAAAA